AAATAAAGTACTTTTGCGCAGACCAGTTTTGTTGGAGGCTTAAGTCTACAACTAGCTCATAGTTTTTTAATATTCTAAAAAATTTAATAAAAAGTAGAGAAATCATTTAATATTGCATGTGATTTTATATACTGTTTTTTTTACTGTTTTTTTTCAATAATTTGTATTTTAATCTTCAAAAAAGAAATACTTAACTATATTAAAAAATCTTTTAAATAGCATGCGATTTTTTTTTATTCGTTCACTGTATGGCGACCGTTTATTCAACACTAAAACACAGATATTTTAAAAATCAATAACAATCGGCAGGCGATTTTTATTACCATTTGCTTATTGCTTGACATTATATTTTTGATATGAATGAAAAATTACTAAATTAAAAAAGTGGCATGCGATTTTTTATAATTTTTTTTATTGCTCGCCGAAGTAATTTTTTCCAGGTTTAAAAAAAAACTACTAATTAAGTTTAAAATTTTAATAAATATTATGCAATTTTTTAAGTACAATATGTTATACGTTTTATAATAGTTTTTTACTTTTTTAACAGATTAATAAAAAAAAAAGAGTGTAATAAGTAGCATGCGATTTTTTTTATGTTAAATATTTAATACTTTGTATAATAATTTTTTACCATTGTAAAAAGATTAGTAAAAAAATTTTAAATCTGTAACAAATAGCATGCAATTTCTTATAAATCTTTTTAATGCCTTCCGAATCACTATTTTTTAGTATTAAAATAAAGTTACCAAATTGAATAAAAACAATTAATAAACACTTAGAATTTTATATAAATTTGTATATTGCTTGCGAAGTTTTTTTTCAAAATTTAAAAAAATAGCATGCGTTTTTTTTTTAAATTAAATTTTTTATACTTTGTAGAAGCATTTTTTACTTTTTAAAAAGGTGAGATAAAAAAATTCAAATCTGTTATAAATACAATAGTATCCGATTCATTATACAATTTTTTAATGCCAAAAAAATTGTTCTTTTTAGTATTAAAGCAAAATTACTAACTTTAATAAAAATAATTCTTCAAAAGTTGTGATTTTATATAAGTTTCTTTACTGCTTGCGAAGTTTTTTTTTTCAAATTTAAAAATTTTAATAAATAGCATGCGAGCTTTTTAATAAAATATTTACTATAATTCGAAGTAATTTTGTTTACTTTTATAAAAATTGTATTTGTAATTAGCATGCGATATTTTATACAATTTTCCTTTTTATTATTAAGAGAAAAACTAAATATACTAAACATTATTAAAAAAATAAAAAATTAATTCAACATGATGTAAAAATTATTAAGAAGACCTACTTCCAACATAACGGTATTTTTTAAACTACTATAGTAAGAAAGAATTAATGTCGAAAATATAAAAAAATAGACGCCATGATATTGTGAACATATGTATATCATATAACTCAGATTGAAAATTAAAAATTGGGCAATGACACGCCCATTTTGAGGTCAAATGTTATTACTCTCAAGCTATTGAACTAATCTCAATCAAATGCGGTACATATTATATAATAATTTTGTAGTTTCAGCTTTGTATTATTTGAAGGACCGTAAAAGTCAGACCAGAAGCCCCGCTCTCTCCCCTGAGCGCCTATATTTAAAAACCGCATGTTGCAACTACCTTTATGTGGGAAAATTTTAGCTAGAATATTGTGATTTGGTATTTAAAATCACACTCCCTATCTTCTGCTTGGCCTTATATAATAAGATATTCGTAGAAGCATACGTTTGGGCTTCAAGCAGAAAAGCTGCATTTTTAACATTAATATAATATTATTTTTAATAAAATAAAGCATTAACATATTGAGAGGGTTGATTGAAGAATAATATTTTTCCAAGTATATGTATAAATGTGTGTATATAATCATTGTAACTGTAGTTGTAGCAGTTCCCACTACCTGCATTAAACAAAAATTTTAAAAATGTAGAAGATGAAATGCCAGCAGCAGAGCAAATATGTTGAACAAAATAAAATTTCCAAAAAAAAAAATACAATTTGACAACAACAACAATTACAATAAATTCATCCTATGACAACAACCAACAACATTTATTAAGTACACACACGTACAGCAGCCCAACCAACATGCTTATGGTCACTGCAAGACCATGCGTGTAGCATACTTTTTGGCGCACAAGCAAAATTTGGCGAAAAACAAATTTCGTTTCAAAAAGGGATGCAAATACGTGCAAAGGACACACAAAAATTTGCTTGACCAAGTGAATCGACAAAGACTCTTCACTTTTTAGTGGATTTGCTACAGAGAAGGGGTGAAATAGGGAAATGAAGAAACGCAAAGTGAACGGCAAAGAGCGTAGAGCTAAAAACAGTATGGTGAGTGCTGAGTAACGGTCCAAAGAGTGTGTGTAGATAGGTACAGTATAATATATATGTATATGTAAATTTAGTATGTATTACCTAGGGCGATTTTTGATATAAATATATTAGGATGGCACTAATTTATATAATATTTTTTTACTTTCTAATTTTTATTCTTATTTTTTCGAAAAAACTCTAGAATAAAAATTAAAAAATTCTGAAAAGAAACTTGCGAAAAGTTCTACAAAAAAAAAAATTAGTAAAAACTCGAAAACCAAAAAGTAAAAAAATTGAAAAATTCAAAATAATTCATAAGATATTTTTAAAATTTTTTTAATACAATTTTTTCTTGTGAACTGCCTTAGTACTGCTTTGGCGCCAGTATGTATGCAAAGAATTGAAAACAACGCGCACGTCTGGTCAGTTTCTTGGGTCAGCTCGTGAGCGTGTGTGAGTGGAATTTTAAAATGAGAAAACTTTCCATGCACTTGCCAATACTAAACTCATCTAACTGAGTGAGATTTTATTTTGTATATTTATGTGTGCTCAAGTTGTTTTAGGGGATGCCAGTTGCCTCAAGGCTACGGGTAGTCTCATATGCGAATTTTAATATTAATAAATGAGTATTGTATAAAAGTGGCGGTGGGTTAAGGTGGTGGAGTATGTATATAAAACACAAATGCTGATATTTGAATAGGAAAATTCGCAAGAAATCAATTTTTTTTATTGGAAAATAATTCCACATATGGTTTTAATTTAATTTTTTTTATTAGAGGAAAGTGCAGACTTTTTTCAAAGTTGTTTTGGCAAATATTTTTCGATTGTTTTGTATGTAGAATAAGTTTTTGAAGGAGTACATAAGCATTCTGAAATTTTTTTAGAAAATGTTGGAAGATTCGTTTTTCTTCAATATGTGGAAAGAGATATAAAATGTATTAGAATTAACAATTTTAAAACTAAATATTTTTTTTTTGAAAACTTTAGAAATTATGATTATGATTTTGGAGAAATTTGAAAATTTTTAAAAAATAAGAAATTAAATAAATTTGTATTAAACATTTTGATGCTTAATATTTTTGTGGAAATTAAAAATTGTGGCTTATGATTCTAGAAGATTCTTTTTCTATGAATATTTGGAATCTTATAAAAGTATTTGAATTAAAAATTGTAAATCTTAATATATTTTTTAGAAATTAAAAATTGTGGCTTATGAGTCTAGAAGGTTCTTTTGCCTAGAATATTTGGACATTTCTAAAAGTAAGTGTATTAAAAATTTGTAAGTATTTTTTTTTTTTAGAAATTGTGGTTTTTTTTGGAGATTATTTGGAAATTTATAGAAGTATTGAAGTTTAAAATTTTTAATTTAAATAAGAATTTTTCCAAAACATGTCTTACCTTAAACTGTTAATTAAAAAATGTACCTAAATCTGCTTCATTTCTAAAAGTATAGTTAGAATTTTTGAAATATTTAATTAGCAAATATTAAAAATGATAAAAAAACATTTTAAATATTAAATAATTAAATTCATAATAATTGTAGCCCTTAAAAATTCAATGTTATAAAATAATTAGCAATATTTTATATTTATACTCGCAAAGCTTAGATATTTTATTACAAAAAATGTATGGTAAAAAAAAATTTAAAATGCCTGTAATGAATGCCTTTGAAAATTTATATATCATCTATGACATAAAAATATTAATAAATAAAAAAATATTTGATAAAATTTTTAGTTTGTAATTTATGGTAGAAAGTGCAAATTATTAAAAGAAAATATTTTTATAGCTTGTATAACTCAACAGGTTATATATATGTATATTTATATAAAAACAACTATTAAAATAGAATTTAAAAAAAATATTCATTTTGAAATTAGTTTTTTTTTTATCATAATTAAAATTTTAATCTTTTAGAAAGTGCAAATTATAAAAAAAATATTTTTATAGCTTATATAACTCAACAGGTTTCAATAATTGATAATAAATTGATTATAAATAAAATCTACTTTTTCAGTCTTATTTTTACAATTTTTTGTTTCCTTTTTTGAGTTATTTTTATTTTTTTTTTGGAAAAAAAATTTTTAATTTAAAAAAATATTCATTTTGAAATTTATTTTTTTTTTTTAATTAATTTTTTGAATTTTTCAATTAAAATAAATATATTTAATTTTATATCATAATTAAAATTACATTATTTTTATAATATTTATTTTGAAATTTTTTAGTTTTTTAAAATTTATTTTATGAAACTTTTTTAATTAAAACTAATTGTTATAATTTAATATTATAATTAAAATTAATAATTAAAGTTTAATATTATAATTAAAATTACATTTATATAAATATTTTTATAATTAAAAGAACTCATATACAAAATGAAGTTTAAAAATTAGTAATGAAAAAAATATTAATTTTGAAATTTTTTAGTTTTTTTAAATTAATTTTTTGAATTTTTTAATAACAACTAATAATTATAATTTAATATATTTTATAATTAATTTAAGTTTTTGAAATTAGAAAAAAATTTAATTGATATTTTAAATCATAGATGTTAAAATTAATGATTTTAAAATAAGATTTAATAAAAAAAATGCCACTTGGTAAAACATCTCAGTAGTCTTTTAAAAGTATAAATTAATATATAATATTAAACAAATTTATATTAGCTCATAGTTTTGACTGATAACGTATGATCGTGTACACATACACGCATACATATATACAGCGCTTTAGGGAATAGATTAAACTACTCGTAAAACTACCTATAATGCCTTCTAATCACCGAACCTTTCGCTTATCACCCCAATCTACAGTTGCTTTCACTGTTGCATTCAGCTGATCTTGGCAAAAAGTCTAGCGCCTGCAACGCCGCCGTGCCTTCAGACACGTCGGCAATACTTGTATTGCAATTCAGCAAAAACAATAATATCAACGAAAAAAGTTTTATCAAGGCGACTTAAGGTGCGGTCAACGCACTGTCGTTGCCGATAATGTAAACAACACTTTGTTGCATAAGAATACTCACCGTTAATTTGTTGTAATAATTTAATTAATTGCAAAAGTTTCGAGCGCTTTGCTGAGTCCAAGTGTTTTTCATATAAAAACAACTCGCAAACAAGGTGAAAGCACAGTTCGCACTGAGTTGTACCTGAGAGCAATATGAAGCTGCTGAAAACATTCGGTTTGTTGGTTTTATTAGTTGGCGCTGCCAGCGCTGGCCATAAGCAAGGCAATCAACGCAGAAGCAATACACAACAATCGAGCAATCTCAAACCGACCGACTGGCTGTCGGTGCAGGAGCTGCAATCTTTGCCCTCAGCGGAGGATATCACCTTGCAACAGTTGGAGAATATGTCGGTGCAGGAAGGCGAGCGTTTGATTGGACAGATTTGTAAGTAGTTGGCAACGCTGATAGTCTTAAGAACTCATATATTAATTATTTTGCAGATCATCTCTTTAAAATCGATCGCAATCTGCGCCCAACTTACGTGCCTAGCGCCAGCAATGTGCCCGTGGTCTTCGTGAGACCTAATGGACAGAGTGTGGAGACCAACCTCAACGAAATGGTCGCGAACGCCAAGCAACAACCCAATTTCGGCAGCGAGGAGGTGACCATCTTTATTACTGGTCTACCGCAGACCAGCGCCGCTGTCGCCAGGGCTAACAAGAAGTTGGTGCAAGCCTACATGCAACGCTACTATGGACAACAACAGCCGGTGAATGCCAACAACCAGGATTATGATTATAATGAACGTCAGCCAGCCACTTCAAGCGAAGAGGACTACAGCGAATCCTGGAAGCAGCCTAAACAAAATAGGGGCAATCTTGTCGTGAGTTGGAACTTTGGAAAAAAACCACAGCTTGTGTTAAAAAAGTTTTCTTCTTTTTCCATAGATCATCAAACTGGGCGCCACCTTGACGAACCTGAAACGCTATGCGCTGCTCGATATTGAACAAACCGGCCAAATGATCGGCAAAGCGCTCGTCCAACTCACCGATGAGGCTGATGTACCACAGGAGATCATACATGTGATTGGTCAGGGTATTGGCGCACAGGTAGCCGGTGCAGCTGGTCGTCAATACAAGCGCTGGACTGGTCACCAATTGCGTCGCATTACCGCTTTGGACCCCGCGAAGATCTTCGCCAGCAACAATAATGTGTTGACCGGTTTGGCGCGTGGTGATGCCGATTTCGTCGATGCCATACACAGCAGCACCTGCGGCATGGGCACACGCCAACGTGTCGGTGATGTTGATTTTTACGTCAATGGTCCAGCCTCTACCGCGCCAGGTGCTGACAACGTCTTGGAGGCAACTATGCGCGCTACACGCTACTACGCCGAGTCGGTGCGTCCCGGTAATGAGCGTAATTTTGCTGCTGTGCCTGCCAGCTCGATGCAACAGTATGAAAGCAATGAGGGTTATGGCAGACGCGCTTATATGGGTATTGCTACGCAGTACGATTTGAAAGGTGACTATGTGCTCAATGTGAATGCAAAGAGTCCTTTCGGTAAGAGCGCTCCAGCTCAGAAGCAAGGCACTTATCATGGTTTGCATCAGACATGGCGCAACGACAAGAAGAACAACTAATACTAATGAACATAATGACACTGGATGGTTGAGAAATACCTGTGACTATAACTAACCTCAAAACTTTTGTACTTTTATATAATCTCGTGGCAAATGAATATAAATTAAAAAGAAAATCGACAAAATTGGTTTATTATAATAATTTGAGCTGGAAACATAGGCTTGGCAATGCCAACTCAATCGCTTTGGAGACACACGTTCTCGACTGAAGCGGTTGGTACTTGGTCCGTATATTAAATCTTCTAGAATTTTTAGGGTTAAGAAGGTGATCTATTGGTGCTTAGTGTCTCAATTAATTTGTAGATAAATATTCCAGATATTTTGAGTTACAAACCTAAATTAAGAGATCTATGAGGGATCTCTAACATACCTTCAGTATTATTTTAAGCATGACTTAAAGAAAAGAGAGAGTCTTAGGATATAATATCTACCTGATATTAGGATCTACAAACCTTTCTAAGTTCTTTCTAAGCTAGTACGAAGTGGGTTTTATATATGTTCTTTTTTAACAAATCAGACTTTATAAGCTACGCCTCTAACTTATAACTTTTAAGGCAATGAGAGTTCTAGCATCTCATAAAGAACGTATTTACCTTTAGTGCGGTATTAAATTGTTGTAATAATCGAAATCTAATGGGCAGAAAAACTTTTCATGTTATATTGTTATAGCTAAAACTTATAATTTTTTTTTTTTAAGATTGGATTTTTTTTTTACGTATACATTGATATTATTAGTATGTAAGAAATTAATTAAAAATAAAATTTGGCAAGAAAAAATATTTCTTTTGCAGTCTACAAAATTTTCACGGCACTGAGATGATGTTTTTTTTTCGACATTTCTATAAACTTAAAACAAGAAACTTTAAGCTAATTTGCAGCAGTGTTGCCTGCTTTTAGGAACTTTTTAAAAATTTTGGTATGGTGAAAGTCAAAAGGCAGTAAAGCTTCTTATTTCAATTTTTTATTGTTAAAAATATTGCTAATTAAAATTTTTCGTATCATTGAAATTTTAAAACTACTAAAAATTATTAATTTTTCCAAAAGAATTATTAAAATTTTCTAAGAAATTTTTAAAAAAATTAAAAATAAACCGCAAAAAATTTTTTTTAGAAAATATTTTAAAAATTTTTAAAAAAATTTTAAGAAATTTTGTTTATTTAAAAAAAAATTTTAAGAAATTTTGTTTTTTTGCAGTCTAAAAATGTTTTACGCTTCTTACATAATTTTTTCCTCAACAATTATATAATTTTAAAACAGTGTGGCCTATCTTAAGGGACCTTTACTTTAATACTTTAAGTGAACTTTTCTTGAAATATTTAATATTTAAAAAAAAAAATAAAATTAAAATAAAGAATAGTTTTTTTTAGATAACTTTTCAGAGTGTTGCCTACTTTTAGGAAATTTTTTTGAAACTTTTGGGTTTAGGAATATCAAAGTTGCGGCAACTTATTTAAATTTAATATTGCTAAAAATATTATTTATTAAAAACTTTTTGTTGCTTTCGATTTTTTACATTTACAAATTTACGATTACAAATATATAAAAAATAATTTAAAAAAAATTAAAAAAAAAAAAATAATTTCACGGTCCTTACATAACACTTTTCTTTATATATCTGCGACATTTTTATTCTAAATAACATTTTTTAAGCTCATTTGTACTACCTACTTTTAGGCACCAACTGCTGCGCTAAAAATATCTAATGCAAATCTGACCTGCCAACGGCACATGTGGTTAAGCTGCGCATAAACAAATTTCCACAAACACGAACAAAAACAAGAAGAAAAAACAATAAAACACACAAAAACAACTGGCAGCTAAAACCGAAACTAATTTATTTCTACACCACAAGCCGCTTGTATGCTGACCAACGCAACGCACTGCAGCACAGGAAATAAAAGTAAGCCCTGCCAGCCTGAGACAGACGCAATTGTGTCTGCGAAAATCCTGGGCATTATTATTATTTTATTTATTATTATTATATTTTTTGCAACACACACTTTTTTGTGGCTATTATCCTTTATTGCCGTTCGGATATTTCTTATTATTATCAATGCGCTGTTGTTGTTGTGCTGCGAATTTTCATTATTATGCGTGGAAGACAGCCGCACACGCGCGCCTGCGTGCGTCGCAGCGAATGTATAGGCTTAAAGAAGTGTGTGAGCGCAAGTGTGTGTGTGTGTGTGAGTGCGGTTAAAGGGTTGCTGCCCTGGCAGACACTTTCCAACCTACTGTTGGGCTATTTTCTTTACATTCTTTGCAGCGCCGCTACCCACACACACGCCTAACGGAGACCCAACGCTCAACCCTTGACCGGATGGGTGTAAAAGTGACCACCTCGTTGGCGTCGGCTGCTGCTAATGTTTGCTTTTTTATGTATGCTGTTTTTTCTTAACTCTCTGGCAACTGCTATGCATTACCATATAGCGAGAGTATGCCTCACACCACTTTACTTACACTCTTGGATGAACACTGCCTGCTGTGCCAGTTCTGTTTGCGCTGCTTCACTATCACTGGTCACTCTCGGGCCGCTCGGTCATCTTTGGGCTTAGTCGGCAGCAGCGAAGCAACCACCGTCGCCGCCTCATCAATTTTCCTTACGCACTTTGACGTTTCCAGCGAAAGGGTTCCATTTCTCTGTCCGTTTTTTACTTTGCAGTTTGCGAATAATAAAAGATGCCTGTGCTGCCGAACACCCTGCTGTCACCAGCTTATCGGCCACCAGCGTCCAACACTTTCGGCATATTTGCTTTGTGTCCAGTTGTCCTTCCACACTTTTGCCACACTGCGACCTTTTTATGCGTGTCCTTGTTGTTGTTCTTGTTTTTGTTGTTATATCTGTTTTCTTGCAGTTTGCCTTTGTTGTTCTTGTATCCGAACTTTGTTGTTGTTGTATTTTGCTTTTGTTGTTGCTGTTGGATTTTGATTTTGTCGCCGTTGTTGTTGCAATTGTTTTTGTTGTTGTTCATGTTGTACTTTTTGTCGTTGTTGTTGTAGTTTACACTTGTTGTTGTTATAGCAGTTTGTTACTTTTTTAATGCTTTACGAGCAGCAGTTGTCCAGCTTGTCTGCTGTGAACTTTCTTGCTTTCACTCTGAAGCTTGCTCTCTTTCCTTCACTTTATCTCTCTCTTTCTAGCTCATGCTCGCAAGCTTGCTATTATGTGTTTCCTTATCGAAATTGAACAATCCTGTGTTCGTTTGCATTCGCCTACTTTGTATCTTCTTTATATTTTTATTAATTTTTTACTACTTTTTTTTCTTAATACCCTTTTCTTACACCATTCTCTTCCCTTTATATGAGTATATATATTTTTTACTTTTCCTTACATATTTTCCATTTTTTATTCTCTATACATGTTTGTTTGCGAAAATTCTAAATTGAGTTGCGTTTCTTACGCATTTCTGACAGCTTGCATGTTCTTAGGTTTCTTGCGTCCTTTTTACTCCTTGGCGTCGTCTTATGGTCAACTTTGGCATATCGATCGTCTTGGCACTACTGCCCTGAATGACCATAAACAGCAGCTGCAAGGTGTACTCGCCTTGAAAATAAATTGTATTATTGAAAATATGCTTTAATGTGCCTGTATATGGAAGGATTAAGCAGGATTTTGGCTTTAAGAAGGATATGAAATTAAATTCATGAAAGCGCTTTCTTGCTCTAAGCAGTAAGAAGAGAAAGAAGCGCAAACTGACTTGCAGATAATATATAAGCTCAATAAGCTTGCTTAGTAATAACGATTATAGACTAAAACGCTTAAGAGCTTTAGCCTAGATTGTACTTAGTGAGGCTCAGAAGAATAAGTCGTTTAATCGCTTGTAAATGCAAGTACTTTTCACTGAATATAGATTGAAGTTGAGCAAATCTCAAGTAAAGTCTATAGAATACGAGAAGTTGGCTTAGGAAGTTTTCAAAGCTTCATAGCTAGATTGTAGTGTCAGTCTGTAAAATCAGCTTGAAGTTGAGCAGATCACAAGTGAATCCTATAAGATACCAGAAATCGGCATAGGATGCTTTCAAAGCTTCATAGCTAGATTGTAGTGTCAGCCTGTAAAATCAGCACGAAGTTGAACGAATCTCTAGTAAATATCATAGGATACCAGAAATTAGCTTAGCAAGTTTTCAAAGCTTCATAGCTTAACTGTGGTGTCAGCTTTTAACATCAGCATGGGGTTGTGTAGAACCCAAGTGAATCCTAAAGGATACCAAAAATTGGCCTCGGAAGTTTTCAAAGCTTCATAGCAAAATTGTAGTGTCAGCTTTTAAAATCAGCAACTAGCATCCACAATTGTATGTAAGTACTTCCATTATGGGATGAATTCTTGCAGAAAACCAATGACTAAGCTTTTAAAGCAGATACTGGTAGAAGCAAGACTTAACAAAAGTACTTTTTTAGATTTCAAAAATGCTTTCTTAACTCTGGTTGTATTTTTGTCGATCTCTAGAATACTAATTTTCATATTTTGATATTCGCCTTAGAGAGCTTTTAAAACTTTTTAGTTAAATTGTGTCAAACGGAGATATGAATTTGTATGATAACAAATTACAGCATATACATATTACAGCGTCATACGTCCTCTTTGAGTATAATAATCAAAATTTTGTAATCACTGAGCTTTGAAAGTCGCCCAACTAATAAGAATAAAAGAAACCCACAAGTCTCTTCTAGATGCCAGTAATACTTTCTAAATACAGTCTAAAGTAAAGAACATCTCAACAAAACCTGTTTGATTTACTGAAATTCGTCTTACAGAGCTTTCCAAGCTCTTTTGAATTTATTATCTCAGTTGTTAATATTAGTTCTAACTCGGACTTAGACAAAAAAAGCTACAGCACTCATTTTGCGCTAAATATGTTACAATGAATCTAATAAGGAAAGCATCCATGTCTTTGAGCTTTGAACTGACTGTAGAGCTTTCACTGTAAGTTTTGAGAGACTTTCTCATACTGTTAGTCCTTTTGCTCATAAAAGCTAATTCTACTGCGGATAGCTTTGTTGTAGACTTAATTGGTCTTGTTCACTTTGCTCTGATATTCCGTATTTTATATTCGTCGCTCGTCAGTCTAAAATAAATTTTGCCGTAATTTTCATACTTTCTTGCGCTCTTAAGCTAAATCGACTGCC